TACCAAATAGGCTGTTTTGTGGAATCTTTATAACTCACAGAGTATTGTGGGTTGCGAGAAGGAGGGGTAGCATTTCACTAGTTGTTTACTCTGTGGCTGCCTTGTTCCAACTGAAACATAATTCTTTGCATAACACGTTCTTTTTTACTGTAGAGAAATTCCCACATGGAATTCATCAAACATGATAAAATAATGTACTTACTCCTCTTTAGATCTTAAGGAAAGAGATCTGTACTTACTCCTTTTCAGATCTTGGAGATAAAGAGCTCTACTTTAAAAGTGTATCCACAGCCTTGTTTATTTTACCATTCTTTGATTTTGTATATTTTTCTAGTCTTCTTACGAGACTTTGACATAAACCAGTAAATGTATTCATTGGAATTAAAAGCTTTAACAAGTTATTTTAGAGTTTAATTAAAAAGAAACTAACTTGTGTACACCTCAAATCCACATCAAATAACAAGCTGATAATTATTGTACCTGCCACTTTGTAAATAATTAGGGCAATCCCAAAAGAATTGATCTCCAAGAGGCGTGTGACAGAAGTAGAAAGTCATGCATTTCTAAAAATAGGGTGGGACTCAGAAGAATTCAGAGCAATGAAAGACAGTATACATTTATCTTAGACATGGAATTGACTTTGGGTTTGAAACTAACATTTTAGAAAACACCAGGGAAAGGTGTTTAAGTAAAGGAAATAGTAACTGAGTTACTGTTACTGAGGGACTATGTCAAAAAGAAGGCAGGGCCAGTCTGTGGTGTGGTGGACTGGATTCCACATGGCTAACAGTGAAGTTCGAGTCCTGGATCTAATGATTTGAGTAACATGTTGGGGTGATTTACCACAACCCCTGTCTCTTTCACTCTCTCTCTTTCTATCTGGCAAGGACGTGCACCTTCTGGCAAACCTTTAATAAAAAAAAAGGGAAAACAATTATATGATGGCTACATAGAGCAAAGGATGCATGATAAGTAACAGAATATAAGTTGGAAAGGTATGTTGACTAAAATTTGGTGGATCAAGAAAGCAAGGAAAAGTGTACATTTTAGTTTGCTAACAGAGACAATAGGGAGCCATTGTCAGTCCTTGACAGAGAAAACAAAAGTTTAAAATAATTTTTATTTAATTTTTAAATTGCCAGTGAATGCATGCACTTTCCCAAGATAGATGAAGAGACAGGGAGACAGAAAGAAAATAGCCTTCAATGAATGGGGTCTGATAACACTGCAATCCCTTTTCCTCCTTCTCTATCCTGTTAGGATTTTGGGCAGGTACACTTGCACTGAGTGTGTTTTTTAAGCCACCAGGGCAAGTATTTGAATTGCTGTCATTCAGGCAGAATCTGACTTCTTTAACCACTACGCTATGGGGCTGCCCCTGGAATTATTTTTAATCACAGTTTTTATATTTATAAAAATGAAAACATGCTTATGAAATAAAACAGTAAAACATATGGACAAAAAGATTTTATGTCTAGATTATATTTAATAATAGTCTAGATTAGACTAACAATAGTCTAGATTGGTCTAATAGATAAAAATAACAAAAAAGAGAAAAAAAAATGACCGAGAGTTATAATTAGAATAGGAGACTATTTGTGTTTGTGAAGCATAATCTGAACTTTGTCAGTGTATTATATGTTTGAGTTTACATCCTATTCATGGATATTGCTGATAGAGGAAATATATTGCTGAATTCTAAAGCAGAATCTTGAATTTAACCTGTCTCCTTTATGTCACTTAGTTTTGTAAATGAATTGGTTATTTTTATCAGAAATATTAATAATTTACTGTATATTTAATGAGTGATTCTTGGGTTCTTGGTACTGTTAAAAGAACTGTAGGTGGGTCAGCCCATGGCACGGTGATTTAGACAGCTGAATTTCACATGGTTCAAGTCCTGTACCTGGCATCCTGAAAAACACAGTGGGCACACAGGTGCATGTACCCAAAAGCCCAAGAGGAGAATGGAGGGTAAGGAATTGCAGGGTGGTCATCTCCTCCTGGGGGTTACTTTCTGCTTTTCTCTTTATATCTCTCTCTGGTGAGTGAATGTGCCCTAAAGGAAATTAAATAATAATAATAAATAAAGTCAACTGAGAATTTTAAAAAACAGACACACATGAGGAATGTCTACATAAAGCATATCAAACAAATATGTAAGACTATCCATCTTTGTCCATAAACAAACCTTCTCTTTCAAGAATGAGTTTAAATATGTCCTTCTCCTTGAATACATGCCAAATATCTCAGAAAAAAAAAACATGGTAACTTTTCACAGTTTTAAAAAAATTCCATCATATTTTTAAAAATAACATTTTGATGGTATTTAGGATCTTGTATCTTTTGTTTATCTGGTCTTCATTGGATTTAATGTTATTTAAAACCTACTCTGGCACAATTTTTTTTTTTTAATTTTTAAAAAATTGCCAGAGGGCACATGAACTTGCCAGAGACAGAGAAAAAGAGAGAGAGAGGGAGAAAGCACCCCCCAATAAGGCAAAGTCATGCTGCAGTTCTTTCTTCATTTCTCTATTATGTTGGGATTTGGGGTATACATGCACATGCATCTGGCATGGTTTTTAAGTCATTGGGGCCAAGATTCAAGCCATGGTCAGCCATGTGGGATCTGACTCCCTTAATCACTAGGATACCTGACCAGCCCTGTCATAATTTGTTCTCTAGATGGTATATGTCATTTAGATTATAAATACTAACAGAATAAATTAAGGACAGAAGCAAACAAGAATGTTTAATGAATCTACACATAAATATTCACAATAATTACTACTTTTAGAAAAAGGCTAACAGGAAGAGTAATGAATGCTTCCTTTGTTCAGAAGGTCACAATTTAAAAGAAAATGTCTAGGGAGAAAAATGTTCTTCTAGTGAACATGTATGTATGCAAAATAAGTAGGACACTTCCTAATAAAATATGCTGGATAATAAAATGTTGTTTATTGTACAAAATGTTACACTCTTTGAAAATTAAGCAAGGAAGTAAAGAAATGGGCAGGAGAGTGCTCCAAAGAAATAGCCAGGTAGAGTAGAGTACTACGTCCAGAAAGAATCGTTGTCCTAATACAGTATGTGGAGACTCATTAGAGAGCTTTGTGAGCTAAGAGTGTTCCTGGTGCCATGGAAAGCCTGTAAGTATTAACTGGGGCAAGGGAGGCAGAGAACATACAGGATATGAAAGCAGTAAGTCCTAATGATCAACACATTGAGTTAAATTAATTGCCTACATAAATGGAATATAGTATTTCACATACTTTTAAAAAGGCAGACTATCCCTAAGCTTTATTTTTTTTTTAAGTTTAATGTATTTTAGGCATCTAGTAGTCTGTCCTAGACAGTCTAGTAGTCTGTGAACACACAATATTCATAAAATGCATAATATATTACCTCATGTTTTCAGAACTCAGTATATGTTTCTAAATGAAACCGTATGTCAACAGTTATTCTAGAGGAACGAGAAGCCTTGTCTGGAATCCTTGTTTTCTTTGCTTAATGTTTCACTGGTACATATGTCATGCCGTAATGGTCAATATCCTCTCTGATTCTACGTGAAGGAAAACAGTGAAAGAAGCAGCTAATGTTTACCGAGGATCTACCATGTGTAATATGACCAGATCAGACACTTCACATTTTTTATCTCATGTTAATTCTGTTCATAAGGTGGATGTTATTTCTCTACCACTTAAATAAAGTATCCAAGGCTTAGACTGGGGGTGAAATATGCCTCAAGTCTTCCCAGCTGTAAGTGGTACAACTGATACTCAGTGCCACCAGGGTCCAGGCTCTTTTCACCCCATGGTACTGGCTCAAAATATGGCAAATGGGGAACCAGCAGTTAGCGTAATGGCTATGTTGCTGGATTCCCACGTAGTCGATCGTGGTTCTCATCCCAGACCCGGTGGCTTAGAACTCACGCCAGGTGCGTGTGCGTGCGTGCCCAAGATCCCGAGAGGAGAATGGAGACGGGATTGCGGTGTGACCATCCCCTCTGGGGGGTGATTTCTCACTTTCTGTCTCTCTGTCTCTCTCTGTCTTTCTGGCGAGCGCACGCACACTATAGCGAAAACCTCTCAAAAAAAAAAAAAAGGCAAATGGCTGAAAGATGAAGGTGCATCATTGATGTACTTTTATTCTTAAAGAGAGATTTTATTTCTTACAAAGTATAGTGGAAGGCTGATGGTAGAGGGAGACATCTTTCAGACTGATGGATAAAACAAACCTGAATGAAATTGCACTTTTAAAAAAGTGGGATTTCTGCTTTCACAATTAGTTTCTTGCATTGGAAGATCATTGAGTTTTGGAACATAGGGAACATACTTTGTAGTGTGGAAAAACATACGGGGATAAAAATGAAATAGAAGGGGCCAGTAGTTAGCCTAATGGCTATGTCGCTGAACTCCCATGTAGTCCACCCCGATTCAAGTCCTGGACCCGGTGTCTTAAACTCAAGCCGGGCGTGTGTGCATATGTGCTTCTTCTCCATCCCAAGAGGAGAATGGAGGAGAAGGGATTGTGGCGTGGTCACCACCCCTGGGGGGTGATTTCTTGCTTTCTGTCTCTCTGTCTCTCTCTGTCTCTGGCGAGCGCATGTGCCTTATAGCAAAAAGCCTCTCCAAAAAAAAAAAAAAAAGAAATAGAAGATGACTCTCAATAAAACTGAAAGCAAGTTTTATAAGGTTATGCATGGCAGCAGGAGTTAACAGTTTTTAACCCTAAAAGATCTAAAATGCTTATATGTCAGAAGAGTGTTTCATATACGGTAGACAACACTTTTTCTGTAGGATGAATTGATACTTTATGATATCAACATCAATTTGTGCTTCAGCGCAGACTGGCAAATTTCAAGTTCTAATGAGATATTCCTGAATACTATTAGTAGAAATATCAAAGCAATGATATTTTTATTATTTATTTTTTATACTTCTTGAAGATAATCTTAAATTATCAAGAAAAAATGAAACACATTCCTGTTTCTTTTCTAGTGCTCTGCTTCTTGTGGTAAAGGTATAAAGTACCGTGAAGTGCTCTGCATTGACCAATTCCTAGGGAAATTAGAAGAAAAATATTGCAGTCACCTCAGGAAACCTCGAACTCACAAAGTCTGTAGATCTGTCCGATGCCCTGCATGGAAAGCCAACAGATGGAAGGAGGTATGTGATACATTTTGGATTATATATGCATTTTTTTGCATTTAAATGCAAAATCTTAATTTCTCTGTTTTCAATGAACCTAAATGTTTTACTCTTTTATTCTGTTATAAACTCTCTTGCATCATTCTCTAAATTAATACCATACAGTGTTAACACATTTGCTAAGTCTATGATTAAATAACCAATTAGTTGTTTGATTTTTTTTTATGGCTATAAAATTCACTAAAAATTTTCTGTTGCCAAGTATTAGGGAGCCTCTCAAAATCATACTTTTCTTGGTAGAAGTAATAGAGTGATGCATTTAGTAATAGCCATATTCCTACCTTAAAATCATGGATTTGAGCTAAGGTCACAACTTGGAGGAGGCACTGAAAAATTCAGATGGGATTGTAATCAGAGAGGGAGAGGAAGAGAGGCGAGGCTAAGGCTCTACTGGGGAGACTCAGCCTAAACGAAGCTGATAAATAAATCCAGGCTGATAATTCATGTGGTCAAAAAGGGGTGGTTTTGGGGGCCATTGAGTGGCCTGGGACTTGAGGCACTGGACTCCCACATAGCAATTGTAGTTCAAGTCCCAGGCCTGGCGGTTTGAAAATCACTTAGGACACATGCATGTGTGTGCCTAAAATTCTGAGATGAGAATGAAGAAGAAGGGATTGCAAAACGGTCATCCTCCCTGGGGGGTGATTTCTCAATTTTCCTCTCTCTGTCTCTGATGGGCACATGCGCCTCATGGCAAAAACCTAAAAAGAAAAAAAAATGTAGTTTTTAGAATTATTTATTGTAATATCTGATTTACATATAATTACTGCATATCTTTGTGATGCATAGAGTATGATAATCAAATCAAGGATGTAAGCATAGCCATCATCTTCAACATTGAACTTCATATTGTACCCATTCAATATTCATTGTACTAGTTGCTTTTTTTTTTTTGGATGGGGAAGAAGGGTATATTAGATTATCAATGTCCTTTTTTACTTTGTTGCAGTACACCATTACATAACCTGTCACCCTCATTTACGTATATTCTGTGTCTCTGAATCATTTTCTCCTGAACCCTTCAACTCCTACCCCACTCTTCCCTGAGCATCCTTGGCATCTCCCATCACTCTACTTCTCTGTCATTGAGTCAGTCCATCCATAGACTATTGGGACATTCAAAAAACAAATGAAAAGAATGGTGATTTATACCTGCCCGGGTATACTCAGGGAAGCATGTTGAATACTTATTTGGAAAGGCATGCACTCAAAAGTGATTGTCCAGCGAACACCAGCTCAGGAAACCTTGAAAAGACAAAAGCCATGAATGAAGTTAAAAACATTAACTGGAGTAAATTCCCAAGGATTGATTTCAGTTAGCTGCGCTTTCCATGCAGCCATCTGGCCTCTCTCAGTGATACCCGCCCTCCCACCAGATGCTTACCTGTTTTTCAAAGGGTCTAGTCCTGCAAAAAGGGATGAACAAAAACAAACTTCTCCTTGTGCTAATGGAACTCTCCCAGCTGGCAGATGTTCAGTTACATCTGCTGGGGGCCTACAGGAAGTGTTTCCCCCCCTACAGAAAGTGTTTCTCCTCTTGGAGATCAAGGCTTTGGTGAAGGGCATCCTCTTTTGAGTGTAAGTGTGGCTCAGATTTCTCTGTAGAAGAGACACACTCTATCAAGTATTAATGTGCTGGGAATTGTGGTTAATGTTTGACTGAAAATCAGAGGTAACATCTGTTTTAGAAAAAGTGTATTCTTGAGTATTTGCTTCTACATTAAATTTTGATGAAATAAATAGGTTATTTTTCATGCCTTAGCAGAGGGCATGATTTAAAAGATCTCTCCATTAACCTTTTATTTAGCTCATGTTGCTACTACCATCAAAGTTGTTCAGAAGAGAAACACAGGGTGTGTATATCCTTTCTTTTTGTCCTTGGCTTTCACATTAAGTCATTCAAACTGGTTCTCTTAATTCTTATATCAAAGTTCCTCATGTGGCCCAGCCCAGCATCCTGGTGGTTAAAGGAGTTGGATTCCACATGGCCAACTGTGTAGTACAAGTCCTACCCTGGCAGCTTGAAAACAGAATGGAGAAATGAAGGAGAAGAGATAGGCGAAGAGACATGACCATACCCTATCGATGTGTACTCTCTCCCTCTTGTTGCTTTTCCATCTCTCTCTGGCAAGTGCATATGTCCTCTGACAACTAAAAAACTAAAGTAGCTCAAGCATCTCCGTTACAACCACCCAGTCTAGTTAAAAAGTTCACTATCTATTCTCAGACCAGCAATGGCCTCTCTGTACATATTTTGGTCATTATTTACTTATGTTATGTATACTCTCTAGAAGATCACAAGTATGCTCTTGTCACTTAATAGCATCTATAACTTACCATTGTCTTTAGGGAGTATGACTAAAACTTAACTTATACCCACTTCGACATTAACTTGGGTCATTGTCTTTTTTGATTTATTTATTTATTTATTTATTTTTATTTATAATTTTTCCTATAGGGTGAGTGCATTTGCCTGAGAGGGGAAAAACAGACAGAGGGAATGAGAGAAATATCCCCCACGGGGAATAGCCATGTTGCAGTCTCTTTTTCTCCATCTCCTCCTGGGATTTTGGGCACGCACATACACATGCCCAGCATGAGTTTCAAGCTGCTAGGTCTGGGACTTGAACCGTGGTCGGCCATGTGGGAGTCCAGCATTTTAACCACTATACCACTTGTTGGCTCTGAGGTCATTGTCTTTTTATCTAATGAAGAAAATGGATTATCTTATCCACTAAGTACCTCAAAGCTTACTAAATACTTCTTTGAACCCTGATTTAATTGCAAAAGGCTGTGGTGTTGCTTAGAGTGGGGGTTTGCATTACTTTGCCTGGACCACCAAGTGACAGAATAATGACAAAGTGGCTTTTTCTAAACAGGTGAAATACTGCAAAAACATTGACCATGAAACGTTACCAGGTCCATCTGGTATGCAGCAATTACCTCCCAATTGCCCCACTGGGCAGGAATTGTAGAGGGGGTGGGAGTAGAAATGGAGAAGCTTTTTGGCTTCTTGGCCACCAGCATTCTTGTTGATCCCAAAGGTTCTTTTGCTACTATGCAGCTGCTGCAGCTGCTACAGCTGCTGTGGTTGGTATTAATGAGGGACACTTTCTAAACCTTGACCCCCAGTCCCACAACAGTGAATCCATCATCAGTGCTAACAAATTGGCCTTGGCTTCCCACCAAATACACAATTATACAAGATCCACTGAGGAACATATTTCAGGGATTTCAAAGATACAGATATGAATATTGAGGGACTATAAAAAACATAGAGGTTTTTGTACAGGATCTGCTCTTTGCTCTTTGAATTGGTTTTCTTTTTCATAGAAATTGGCTTCATTCACCCACGCAATCCCTAAATCTCTGCCAGAAACAAATGACCACTTGTGGTTGTTGGCTTTTGATTTATTCTATAAAAAGTACCCGTATGAAGTTAACAATTGCAGTCTGTCAATGCACTACATATAATAATGTACTCAACAGAAGTGTAATTTCAGAGGTGGTTACAAGATAATCGCTGGTTGCTGCCTTATTCTGAATGCATAAATTGTAACATTGCTTTAATATAATTGCTCACTCTCAAAATAATTTCATTTTATTACCATTTTACATGATAACTGAAATGGAAAGATTCATTTGGTAATTTGTGACCACAGAGGTACTCAAGTGAATTTTGAAGGAACACTCTTCCTTCGGTATTTGACATTTTTGTTTGTTTGGTTTTTTGTTTTTTAATGAAAGGATGTAGTAATGCATTTTAATGACTACTCCTAAACAGGAACAAGCATTGCTATACAGGGCCATTTGTCCTGTATATCTTTAGAAGCTAATTAAATACTTGAATCATTTAAGAAGAATAAAAGATCCTGTTCCCAATTTCCTGGAAGCAAGAGGATTTTTTTTTCCACTTAATTTTATTTACTTGGGAATAGCAACTACACTTGAAGTTCATGTGTTTAAGGATAGCATCATGCTAGATTTATATTCTGCATTGTCCTAGGCCCATCTACTCATTTAAGTGTCACCTGAAAAGCAGTCTCTGTGATCAGGAAAAGAAAAATATCCTAAGTTCTTATCTTCCTTCAATAATGGTAATCCTACTGGACAACCTAGAATGATGCTTAAAAATTTTCATTCTTAGGACCAGCAGGTGGTATGGTGGTTAAGGTGCTGGACACTCCCACGTGGCCTACCACGGTTCAAGTCCTGGACCTGGTGGCTTGCTTTCTCACTTTCCCTCTCTTTCTCTCTCTCTCTACATGTGTTTCTTTCTCTGGTAAAATTAAAGTAAATGGATGAATAAATAAAATTAAATAAATAATTTTAATTTTAAAATAAATAAAATAATTTTATTCTTTTTTAAAATAAATTTTGTGAGAGGGCACATGTACTTGCCAAAGAGAGACAGAGAGAAAAGGGAAGTGAGAAAGTACCCTTTATGGAAGACAGTCCCATGCAGCAATCCCTTCTCCTCCACCTTCCCCTCCTTTTGGGATTTTGGACACACACATGCATGCACCTATTTGGTACCTGTATATTTCCTAAGCTGTCAGGTGGAGATTTTAACTGCAACCCTATTCAAGCTAGAGGCAAGTGAAATCAGCCAATTGCCTGATTCTTCTCAGAGATTCATCATTTTATTCTTGGATTTTAAAATAAGAACTAAGACAAAAGATGAAATAAGTTCCAGATTCCATATATCTACTGCTTATTGCCCCACACCTCAAGTCCCTAATTTGAAAAATAAATGAAAACCATGTGCTAAATACTAGATATTGAAGTGATTTTGTATGTCTGCAATTCCATTTTTTTTTCTGTTTCTAAAACACCTAAAAGCTTAAGTTATATTTTCAAACATTTATGATATGTGTGTGTGTGTGTGTGTATACACATATATATGTGTGTGTGTGTGTGTGTATATATATATAATTTTTAAAGTGACGAATTAAAAA